AATATTATCTATAAACTATAAAAATTTTATGCGCCAATTTAACTTTTAAATAAGCTCATTAATGCATCCAGATGAGTCATAGCTTGGCAGTACAAGAAAAAAACCAATTATAATGACTTGTAAACAAACATTTATTGCAATACAAGAAATAAACCAATTATAATGACTTGTAAATAAACATTTATTTTCACAATGATATATATAGGGATAAGAGCAAGAGATCCAAAATTATAGAAATTAAGATGGAAAAAGTTGAGATTCTTCAATTATTGATCATCACTATTTTGCCTTACAGCTGCTTCATAGTGAGAAGTGAAGGCAGTGTGGGTATTAGCAAAGTGCAACCAACGTTGTAGGCTTGAGGAAATGAATGCCCTCCTTACCTTTAAGCATAGTTTTTCTGGTCCTCAGCTCGTTCTCTCGACTTTGGTGATAGGTGAAGATTGTTGCACATGGGAGGGCGTGAGTTGCAGCAACACAACCAATCATGTCATCGAGCTCGATTTGAGAGAGGAAGGCCCCTAAAATGCCACATCAGTAGTTCCGTCACTTTTTCTCTTGCAAAACTTACAATACTTGTGTCTTTCTATCATTTCCTTTAACCAAGAGAGCATACCTTATTCTATCAGTTCTCTCGCTAGATTAAGATATCTTGACCTCTCTTATTATGCTTTTGTCGGAGTGGTTCCACCTCATCTGGGAAACCTGAAATTTCTTCATTAGCTTGATGTCAATGGGGATTATTTGGTTTCTTATAACCTTGCATGGATGTCACGCCTCTCTTTTTTATATTTAATCAATATGTCTTATGTCAATCTAACACTTACTACAAATTGGTTAAATGAGATTAAGGTACTTCAATCTCTCTCCTTTTTATATTTATCATTTCGCAACCGACAAACACTTCCAACTTCACTTCTACATTCTAATTTTTTTTTCAATCATGAACACATTTGATCTTTCTTATAACAATTTCAACGGGAGTTTTCCAAACTGGCTCGGACAATTTAAAAGCTTAAACATATTACACCTCCAATCAAACAATTTTAATGGACCTATTTCATTTTCCTCTTTGAACCCATTATGTGATCGTAATGATTTGAACATGGCCAATAACAACTTTATAGAATTAATTGATGATGGAAGTGTTTTAAAATGCAATGAATATAACATGATGTACATGGATATCTCATACAACCAACTAAGGGAAAGCATACCAGAATGGGTTGGAAAGATGAGAAATTTAAGGGATCTTGATTTTGGAAATAATGAACTTAATGCATTTATTCCATAGAGCCTTGGCCAACTCATAAAATTGATTTATTTGGATCTTCAATCCAATCATGGAAGTCTCTCAGACATTAATTTTGCAAATCTATCACAATTGGATTACTTAGATATTTCAGACAAGGATTTGGATTTTAACCTAATTAGCTCTAATTGGATTCCCCCATTTCAAATTTCTTTTCTTTCTATAAGCTCCTGCCATGTAGGACCTCAATTCCCGTTATGGCTTCGGAATTAGAATTCCCTTTCTCATTCAGAGCTCTCCAATTGTGGCATTTTTTATATCATTCCAAGTAGATTTTGGAATATTTCTCCTCAAATAACGTACTTAAACATATCTCAAAATGAAATCAGCCGTGAACTTCCTATATCTCTCAATAATTCCTGAGCAGTAACTATTGACCTAACATCAAATCAATTGAGGAATGGATGCTTAGACTTTTCTATGACTGCCGCTGATATTTCTTGACTTTTATAGCCCATTGATTGTTATAAATAATTTCTCATATGCTCTCAATGCATTCACAACAGCGAATAATTTGAACCGTTTGTATTTACATATTTAACACCTAAAAAATGATATTTACACTTAGGTGCTATAAACCTATGCATGAAAAGGTGTATTTCACTTTTAACAAGTTAGTAATAGTGGTATTTTTGACGTGATGCTAAACATTTGGGTGATATGTTTAAATATCTTAAGTTTAGTAGTTAGATATGTAAATATTGTTAGAATTGTATGGTATGTATGTAAATGTCTTAAAGATAAAATAATTTGACATGAATCTATTAGCATAAAAGCACTATTTGAACGGTTTGTGTTTCCGCGTTCCTTGGGTTGATGTCAATGGAAAAGAAGCCGCCCCCATCTTCAAGTTCCTCAAGTCGAGCAAATGCGGGCTTTTTGGCGATAGCATCAAATGGAACTTCTCCAAGTTCTTAGTCAATAAAGACGGTCATGTCGTCGACCGCTACCCGACCACCACCTCCCCTCTGAACATCAAGGTAAAGCCCATTCACCGTCGGTTATTTCATGATCGTCTCAGTTTCATTTTTTTAGGTCTCGATTCCTATATTTTTGTTCTTCTCAAAAAAGAGCTAAATTCTCAACAAATGTAGCAATCACACAACTATCATATTATGGTCATCCCACCAATGAGTTATCATTAGGGTTGTTGAAGATCCGATTTCGAAATCGGCTCGAATGGATTTAGTGTGGCCCGTGGCTCGTTATGTTCGATTTCGAGCCAGCTCTATTCGAGCCATTGAATCAAGCTCGATCTGGCTTGAAATCGAATTGTGCTAGATTCAATTCTGCTCGATCCAGCTAGAAATTGAATCTAGCTGGTTCAAGATTTATTTGGATCCGTTCCAACTCAAAATCGGCTTGTGACTCCTTATATTAAATTTTATTTAGCATTATATGCACAATTTTAATAAATAAAAATTGCTTCGAGTCGATCTCAAGCTAGTTCGAGGCAATCCCATTCATAAATGACTTGAATCGGCTATAAAAAACTTAGACCCAAAGTTTTGGCTTATAAGCCGGCTCGTTTATTTTGATCCGATCACGATTCCAACTAAAAATTGAATCGATTTTCGAGCGATTGCTACCTTCGAGCACAATTCACAGCCTTAGTTATCATCATAATCATAAGACGTTTTGTGCATTTGAACTTTTGCACAAGGATATCAAGTAGCTTCTGGATACTTCTTAGGTGCCGGGGGCACAAGTCTGTGAGCTACAGAAAATGTTTGATAACAAGAAGCTCATGGAGGTTTCTTAGGCGCAGGAGGCACAAGCCTGTGAGCTTACATGAAGTGTTTCTGTGGGGGACTATAGCTGGATAAAGTTAGATGTTTATCTATCTTAATATGGATGCTAGCATTACCTATAGTAATAAGGCAACATTTATCATGTTTGTTATTTTTGGTACTGTGTACAAGTATGCCATGTTATGCCACCAAGTGTTATAATTATAAATGATACAACACCAATAAATGATACAACACCAACAACACCAACAAATTTTCATCAGCTTGCACGAATCTCAATATATGACAAGAATCTCGAGACACTTTTTTGAGAAAGAAACATTTAAACTTTCAATTAAGTGTCATGCAAAGCTCTGATTTCATCAAATTTACAGTCAAACTGATCGGCTTGATGAGACAAACCTAATAATATTAAATTTAGTCCAATCATATTCAAATGAAGCTCAGATCAAGTCATTAAACCACTCTTAGATATTTCCAAACACATTTGGAAGGAAGAACTAATGTTGGCGCTAGCGATCCTACACTCAAATCGAGCGTTTCGACAAGACAAATCCAACGAGCCCAAGATTGCTCAATTCTGACATCGTTAAGGCACTCAAATGTCCATCAAACGTCATCCAATCGAGGGAAGTTCTTCGGATCTTCAGATTAAGGTGGTTCATATTTTTGAATTAATTGAACCCAAAACACTATAAATAGAGCCCCACCCCTCACATGAGGGAGGAGACTTGAGAGAGAACTTGAGGTTTGAGAAAGTGCTCAAGTTCAACAACATCCCTGCCATTGTCGACATTCGTCGATCACCACTGACCGCCGTCGACCAACACCGACCGTCATCGATTGTCATTGACTACTGTTGATCACCGCCGATCTCCGTCGACCACTGCTGACTAGATGCCATCAGCCGACGTTATAACTTGAAAAATTAGTAACTCATTCTCGTCTGTGGGGCAATGGATCTCTGTAATCATCAATCAATAGTGGATTTTCGCAATTGGGTCAGACTCCGTTGTTTTTACGTTTCCAGGTTTTCCGCATAAAATTTTCTGGAGTCATAACTGTTTGTTTTCTATTTCATCTGCGTGTGTGCTGAATTCTCGTACAATGCTAAGACGATAATCCATTACTTTACTCTATGAATTTTCTAACACACATCAATAAATATTATAGTTTACGTATTAGATAGGAATATACATAGGAATTGTGGTTTATAGATAAATGTCCCAAAATGTAGAATTATTATTAATGTGCCATCATTATTGGTGAGATAGAAAGGGCATTTACATACAAACCAGCCAATTTCTATATATTTACAATTTCAAACACATACACCTTATGTTTTACATTTTGTGCCAACCAAATCTTCCATATAATATAAAAAATATTACCATTTTAAAAAAAATGAAATGCATATTTTCTTAAGGTGACACTCATGTAAAAAATTTAAGCTTAGGTGTTAGATATGTAAATACATAGAGTTGAGTGGTATGTATAAAATCATTGCGTGAACGGCAAGCAATTTGAATAGACTTCTGAAAACCCAAAGGCCATTTATTAAAAAGGGATATATAGAGCAAGAAAGCCAGAATTATATACTAACTGTGATATATATATATATATATAGGGGGTGTGAAGCAAGCAAAAATCCTAAAATTTAAGCTCTAGAGTTCTTAGTAATAATGTCTATGAACCCGATCATGATACTATTTGAGAGAGAGAGAGCTATAATATTGAAGAACTCTATAGTTATATTCAGCTATCATCGCTTGGCTATCTCCACAAATCAACTGTCTCATTATTTATCTCATTGATGTCTGTTGATCGTCCATTTTCTGTTAACCATCATCACCACCATTCACCAATTCCCCAACATTTTCATCTTTAGCTACATAAGGATGAGCTTGTGTTTAATCTATATTTGGTAATCTTGTCTTCTTTTATTGACAAAAAAAACCAAATTTTATTATTTTGGCTATAATGTAGGTTATATCAAGTGGCTATAAATTTTTTTTTTTCATTTTCAAACTTTTAATGAAAAAATTTTGGTATTTTTTTTGAGATTCTTACTAGTATTTGCACTCGTGATATTTTCAAAAAAGTTACGAGGTACGTACAACTTTATTGTTGTTTCTTTCATTTATAATTTAATTAATTATATATTTAGCTTTCATATTATATGAGTGACCTAATGATCGATTGTGACTCAAAATTTGTTATATGGATAGCTCTATTCACCATCATCAGAAAATTTTTTTGGGCCATAATCATTGCATTAAGTTAGTCAAAGTTAATGCATAACTAAGCCAAGTTCAGCTTGATTAGAAGTCAAATTCGATGAGCTAAAAGGCCTAGCTTATGATAACCCTACTCGACTCATTAGCTTGTGATTCAGTTCATATTTTTTTTAAAATATTAAAATAAAATAAATTAAAAAGTATATTAAAAGTTAATATTTGGATACACCATAGCAAGGCTAATATTAATCTCATTAATTAATTAATAATTATTTTATTTATGTAAGTTTCGTTTGAAAGACTCGTACCCAACAAAGTTCAAGTCATGGCCATACCTTCGTCATCAATGCAGTGACCTGTCAACTATGATGGTTATAGCTGATGTCTCATTTACACATAATTTATCAAATCCATAATTGCAACGAAAATTTACATATGTACCACAAAATTCTTATGAATTTATATATCTAACACGTCCAACTTTATACTTACATTTAAAACACTTTGGTGCCATATATTTATGCATACAAGTATGCATCCGATCATTTTTAACTAGTTAGTGCGAATGATATTTTTAATATCAAGTTAAATATTAAATTTCAGGTGTTAGATATGTAAATAAATAAGAATTGTGTGGTATGCATGTAAATGCCCCCTTTTTCAAATATTGCTGATAGAGAACTATTTTAATTTAAATGAAATTAAGATTAAGCTATTAAGTATTTTAGGAGTCATAAAGCATATGTATACTCTTCTATTATACATTAAAGTGGCTCAAAAAGAATACATTTATTTTCTGTCCTTTTAATAAACGATGGGAGTGAATTTCTTAATAAGCATATGTATACTCTTCTATCACATTGATTGTATTTAAATATTATTCAAATTATGTAATAATAATTCATTAAATATTAATTTATTGTAATTAGTTTCCTTTCTCTTAATGAGTCCAAAAGGTGTACGCTTCTAAAGATAGCTTAGCACTATAAGCACGCATCCGTAATTCAACTAAATAAACTTCTTACTAATTCATGTGATATAAATAGCGATAGAGCAAGAGAGAATTTTAGAGATATCTTCCAACCAATGTGATATAAATAAGGATGGAGCAAGAGAGCCAGAATCATGGCAACTCTGATGGAAAGAGTTGAGTTCTCTATACTCCAAATCTTTACTCTATCTTTATATTGCTTGAGAGCGGAAAGTGAAAGTGACTTAGCTATTCGCAAGGTGAACCAACGCTGCAGTGTTGAGGAAAGAGATGCCCTCCTTGATTTTAAACAAAGTCTATCTGATCCTCTCCTCGTTCTCTCGACTTGGGACATAGATGAGGATTGCTGCACGTGGAAGGGAGTGAGTTGTAGTAATAAAACCAATCATGTCATGAAGCTCGATTTCTCTATTTTTTTAGACAATGGGAGTGATTTTTTACATGCCACATCTTTACATCCGTCTTTTTTCCGCTTACGACACTTGCAATATTTGTGCTTGCGTAACCTTCTCTTCAATCAAACGAGGATCCCTCATTTTATTGGTTCCCTCACTAAATTGAGCTAGCTTGATCTCTCATTTGCAGGGTTCGTCGGAGAAATTCCACCTCATATTGGAAACTTAACAAAGCTTAGACACCTTGATCTTGGTTATAATTCTCTAGTTTCTTATAACCTCTTATGGATGTCTCGTCTCTTGTCTTTACAATTTCTTGACATATCAGATGTGAATCTAACATTTGCTACGAATTGGTTACATGAGATTAGTGTGCTTCCAGCTCTCTCCACTTTGTATTTGTCAGTATGCAGACTCCAAGCGCTTCCGAATTCACTTCCATATTCTAATTTTTCATCAACCATTGAAACATTTGATCTTTCTTACAACCATCTCAATGGAAGTTTGCCAAACTGGTTAGGGCAATTCAAAAGATTAAAGAAATTATATCTCTATTTCAACTCTTTTACTGGACCTATCTCATTTGCCTCTTTAAGCTTATTATGTGAACTCGAAGATTTTGTCCTAAGCAATAATAATTTCACAAAATTAAGTGATGATGGAACTGCTTTAAAATGTAAAGAACATAAAATGACAAGAATGGATATCTCCAAAAACCAATTGAGTGGAAGCGTACCTAAATGGATTGGAAATATGAGAAATTTAATACAGCTTTTTCTTGGACATAATCAGCTTGATGGACTTATTCCAGAGAGTCTTGGACAACTAACTAACTTAGCTATTTTGGATATTCCTTACAATAATTTGCACGGTAATCTCTCTGAATTTCATTTTGCAAATCTATCACAATTGAAATACATAAATCTTTTAGGCAATCAATTGAGTTTTAACATGATTAGTCCTAATTGGACTCCACCATTTCAAATTCTTTTTCTTTGCCTAAGTTCTTGTCTGGTTGGTCCTCAATTCCCACTATGGCTTCCAAATCAAAACCTACTTTCTGTTTTAGACAATTGTGGAATTTCTGATATCATTCCGAGTTGGTTTTGGAATATATCATCTCAAAAAGGTTACTTGAACATGTCTCAAAATTCATTTAGAGGTGAACTTCTAATGTCATTGAATATTGATATAATGAGCAATGTTGGATTGATGAGTTTGAATTTATCAAGAAACCAATTCACGGGACAAATACCAAACCAAATTGGTTTTATACAAAACTTAGAAAGTTTGGATCTCTCAAAAAATCATTTCTCAGGAGATATTCCAGAGAGCATTGTGATGCTCAAAGCATTGAGTTTTCTCAACTTATCTTACAATCACTTGTCTGGTAGAATCCCGACAGGGACCCAACTTAACACTTTTTATGAATCAAGTTATTACGGAAATCCAAAACTCTGTGGAAAACCATTACATAAGACTTGTGAAGGTGATGAACATAAAATACATGACGAAGGAGACAATTCTCAGGATGATGATGATTTTGGTTTGTTCCTCGGTATGGGATTTGGTTTTGCTGTTGGACTATGGAGTATATTGGGGATCTTATTTCTTAAGAGATCTTGGGCAGCCACTTATTTCCAATTCATTGATAAAGTGATAGATTATATTTATGTATTTGTCAACGTAAAAGTGAATAAGTGGTTTAATCAATAAATAACATAATTAAATGATGATCATTTATGTATTGGAGTTATTTCATAAGTGTTGTATAATATTGTGTTGTACTAAGATATCAATTGAAGTTCTCTGTCTTTTTAGTTTGCATTTCTCTTTCAATCCTTGAGTTGCTTGAGACTATGTTGGTGCTAACAGGAGACTAAAGTATCAATTTTTTCTCAGTAATAATATCATTTTCATATCAAGAAATATAAAACATTATGATAATTAAAATCTCAGGAATCTTTTGATATGATATAAAAGATTTGGGTGGTATAAAGGTAAAAAGTAAAAGTTTAGGTGTTAGATGTATAACAACATAGAAATTGTGTGGTATGTTATCGGTACTTTAGGAGCATAATTAGCGCATAAATAAGAAATAATTTATTTGCACAATGAAAGAATTTATTTGCATTGTATATTTACGATATCAAAATATACCACTCAATTCCTATATTTTTATATTTCTAACACTTAAACTTCACTTTTTACATACTTTTGATGTGATGTGATAATTTGGGTTGTAAAAGTCTCCTCCCTTTAATTTATTTATTGCATGATACTATAGAATATATGCTTTTTAATTGAAATATCACTATAAACATTTATGGAAGGGAAATTTACACATGTACCAAACAAATCTTATGAATTTATATATCCAACACTTACAACTTGATGTTTATATTTTTGGCAATGTGAACAAATTTGACATGTTATGCAACCAAGTGTTATAATTATAAATATTATAGTTTATAGAGTAGATTTGAAAATACATAAAAATTGTGGTATAAATGCCCCAAAATACAGAAGGATTTTTTATGTGCCATCTTTATTTGTGGGATAGAAGGGGCTTTTACATGCAAACCACTCAATTTCTATATATTTAGGGTTTCTTATGTTTTACATTTATGCCAACCAAATCTTCCATATAATATAAAAAAGTACTATCATTTTAAAAAATGAAATGCACAATTTCAAGCATGGGTTAGGGTGACACTCCTGTGTAAAAAGAAGCTTAGGTTTTAGATATGTAAATATATAAAAGTTGAATGGTAAGTATGAAAATCGTTGAATCATTGCGTGAACGGCAAGCAATCTGACTAGACTTCTGAAAACCCAAAGGTCATACATATGATTTTGTTTAGGGTTTTTTGGCTATGTAAAAAAGGCGGATTTATATTATCTGTGATGGAAAGAGTTAAACCTTCTCTACTTGTAATTAAGCTCATATCAGTCTGGATCAGAGCTCTGCCTTCATTATGAAGTCAAGTCAAATTTTTCATCTATCATCACTCAGCTTTCACCACTAGACAATCGTATCTTGACTATCATTATTTATCAATGGCATTGATGCGTATTGATCGTTTGCTCTCTTTTAATCAACAACACCACCGTTCATAAATTCTCAAGCATTTTTCTCTTCAACTTTATAATGTTGAGCTTATGTTTTATATATACTTTTTAATCTCATCTTCTTATATTTATCCAGAGTATTTTATGAGGAAAGCATATTGATTGCAGCTCAAAGATAATTTCATGGATAGCTTTATTCACTCTTATTACGAAAGTTTATTTGGCCATAATAATCGCATTAAGCTGACTCGTGAAATGGCTCGAGTTTAGATTAATTGGATGCTCGAATGCTAAGCTTCATGAGCTAAAAGTCCTAGCTTAAGACAACCCCTCCTCAAGGAACCCAGATGGACTGATTAGCTCGTTAGTGAGTTCATTTAATATATCAAGTCAAAAATTGCAAGGGAAATTAACATATGTACCCTACAATTCTTATGAAATTATATCTACAGCACTTACAACTTGATATTTACATTCAAAACCGTTTGCTGCTATTTATTTATGTACACAAATATGTACTCGATCATTTTTAAAATATCTAAATTTATCTAAATTTAAAATTTAAAATAAAGTAAAACATATAACTTACATTTATTTTATTTCAATATTTTTTTAATAAGCTTTTGTTAAATTTTAAATAACACTTTTTAAAGTGTGTAAATTCTACGCCTTTGAATACTGAGGCTAATATTACTTTTACTTTCTGTATTTTTATAGGGTGATGAGAGTGAATTCCTTAATAGCATTGATTAGTGCACGTCAAAGTCCACAACTTTGTCGTGAAGTCTTATAATGACACGTTCCTAATTCAACTTAATAAACTTCTTGCTAATGAATTATATCGAAAAAGACTATATTAGGAATATAGGAGAAAATTTTGGAGAGATTTTCCCACCACTGTGCAATAAATAGGGATAGACCAAGAGAGCTTGAATTATGCCAACTCTAATGGAAAGACTTGAGTTTTCTCTATTCCTAATATTTGCTCTATCTTTCTATTGCTTGAGAGCGGAAAGAGAAGGTGGTTTATAACAACTTAAGGGGTTCAATTCCACAATGGATATGGAACCTACCAATGTTGTTATCTTTGCACCTCAACAACAATATTTTTCAAGGGGAGATGCCATTTTTAACAAATTGCAGCAAGCTTATCACTCTTGACTTGGAAGAAAATTATCTTACAGGAAGCATACCTTTATGGATTGGAGAAAAATTATTATCCCTAAAGATCTTACGCTTACACTCAAATAAATTCCATGGATCAATTCCCTTGGAGCTATCCAAACTAAAAGAATCTACAGATCTTGGATCTTGCAAATAATTTTCTTTCAGGGTCAATCCCAAAATCTTTTAAATTTCTCAATTCAATGGTCATACAAAATAAGAGACTTGAGCCTCTAATTCCTTCAGATGGACTTTTATTTCATTATCAGGCGAATGATGTTTCGATTTTCTTTATTTTTATCGAGCATCCAATCATTGATTCAATAATGATCGGTATAAAAGGAAAAGTTCGTGAATTCAAAGGCATGTTCTCTCTTGTTAACATTATAGAACTTTCTTGTAATAATCTCACCGGTGGTTTGATGAGCTTGAATTTATCGAGGAACCAATTCACGGGACAAATACCAAAGAAAATTGGTGTTATGCAAAGCTTAGAAAGTTTGGATCTCTCAAAGAACCATTTCTCAGGAGATATTCCAGAGAAAATTGTGATGCTCGGTGCATTAAGTTATCTCAACTTATCCTGCAATTAATTGTCTGGTAGAATCTCTACGGGGACCCAACTTGACACTTTTAATGAATTGAGTTACTACGGAAATCCAAAACTCTGTGAAAAACCACTACATAAGGCTTGTGAAGGTGATGGAATCATTGCCTGTGTAGTGGGACCAAATCATTAATTCCTATCCTATTTAAAGGCAATGATTAATTAGCTAGTTGTAAGTCTAAGTGAGGTGGGGCTACTTACGTGCATGTGGATGATAATCACACAAAATTTAAAATTTTTTTTTTCTCATGTTTATGCCATCGCATAATAAGCATATGGGATTTTCCAATGATATATTCCTCTTTTTTTTTTTTTGGAATATTTTACATTTATGCCACTCAAAGTTTGTGATGTGAAAATTTGACTTGGACTTAATGGTCTAAACACGATTCGGGGTACTCTAGTTGACGGTCTGCGCTAAGGGAATGTCCATATCAGCAGCATACGACCCTGTGTCGCAGGAACGAAATTCAACCTGGAGGATACTGAAAGTAGCGACGACTTGGCAACCCTCAACTCGGAGCCCGTCTATGATGGTGTATGACTTAACTATAGTGTTGTGTCACTCAATGAGATTTACCCTCATATGTCGCATCAATAATGGATGCCAACGGTCTTATTTTGCCAATTCAGGGGCTCAATCTTTCGATTTTTGCGTATATTATCATCCTTCCCGGTCTAGATTTACCAATATTTGTATTATGCAATGCTTAGATAGTTTGGATCCCTTAAGAAACCATTTCTAAGGAGATATTTCAGCTTGGATCCCTTAAGGAACCATTTCTAAGGAGATATTTCAGCGCGCGTTGTGAAGCTCAGTAATTTGAGTTATTTCAATTTATTCTGCTATCAATTGTCTCGTAAAATCCCGAGTGGCGACCCAACTAGACAGCTTTATGGAAATCCTCGGCTCTGTGGAATACCACTTCATAAGACTTGTAAAAATGATGAACATTAAATAACATAATTAGATGGTGATAATTTGTGTAGTTTAGTTCTTCCACAAGTGTTGTGTGATTCCAAAATTGTATTATAAAATGGTGCAATAAGATTTTCCATTAAAGTTTTCGTCTTAGTCTTATTATGCAATTATTCCATTAAATAAATTATACGCAATCCATCAAATAAAAGACACCAAATTAACTTTTTTTTCTTTTAATTAATTTATAATCTCAGTTTTACCACAAAATTATTTTTTAGATCCATGAAAAAAATATCATTATTACTATCATATTAAAAAGTTAAATACATATTTCTTCTATAAATTTATGACACTAAAATACTATTTGTGTTATTATAAAATTGTGGGTGCTAAATATGTAAATACATGAGAATTGTGATATGTATGTAAATTAAAGTTCATCATCAGTCCAGACCCGCCTTCATTATCAAGTCAAGTCAAGTCAAGCCAATTTTTGTAATTAAGAGTCTCTTCTCTTTAATTTATTTATTGCATGATAATATAGAATATAAGCTCTTTAAATGAAACATCACTATAAACATTTACATTTATTCATACATCACCAAATTTATTTTATAATAACTACTATGTCATTCAATTATTACTATGTTCTTATTTATTTATTAAATCATATATTATTGCATTTTAAGATTGTATAACAATCGAAAAATTATATATATATATATATATATATGAGATGTTGATGATTAGTACTTACAATAATCATTATCTCCCAACAATAATCGTCTGATTGTCATTATTTGAACATCATTTTTCGATCATCATTATTAGAATGTTATCATCTCACCACTATTATCCAATCAATGTTCTTCAACTATCATCACTAGACTATCTCCACAAGACAACCATCTCCTGACCTCCATTATTTATCGATCACATTGATGTCTACGTAATGCTGACATTGTCTGTTGTCTCTTAATCATCATCATCACCCCTCACTAATTCCCCAATATATTCTTCTTCAGCCACATAATGTTGAGCTTGTGTTATATATATATTTTATAATCTCATCTTCTTATACTAACAGAAAAAAATGTATAGTCTTATTATTTTGCCATAATTTTTTGTTAAACTATTTTAACCCTTTCATGTAAAACTTTTTG